AATGATTGTTCTGGTTGCGCACTTGAAGTAGGCGACCCCTCGCAGCTGATTGGTCCATTTCCATCCGTCTCACATTCTCCAAATTTCTCAAGCGCTTCACCACACGAGCAGTACAACCCGCTCGCCACCGTATTTCCTGCGGTTCCTCATTCTGAATCATGTAGGTGCTGGAACCGCTCCCGAGCTGACACCTGCCGCAACGCGCGCATGCACGTCTTCTGCAATGTCAATTGCTGCCCGTATGAGGGCAAATGTGGTAACGGTCTCGAAGAGTCAAGTAAGGTCTTTCTGGGGCGCAATCGCCGCACCGGCCGCCTATGTGTTGTCGCCGGCGAAGACATTCAAGCCGGTGAGGTGCTCGGCCAGTACCTGGGGTTGAAGGAGCACGTTAGTGTGTCGCGCGCCGACCGACCCCGCAACGGAGGCTACCGTCTCGTGATAAAGCAACGTCCCGAAAAGCCGTCGTATCCGGTTTGCGTGGCCATCAACGCCGAAGACATGGGTGGTCTCATGCGGTTCCTGAATCACTCATGCAGGCCAGTGACGGAGTTCGTTGAGGTGTCAAACGGTGGTCGCACAACAGTGGTTGTTGTGACCACACAGGACATCCTTCGCGGTGAAGAGGTTACGGTGGATTACGGCGACGACCTTTGGTTTGTCTGTCGCTGTGAGCTGAGTGAATGCCGCCACAGCAACATCCAGGACGAAGAGGATCCATTAGAAGTGTGACGGCGTTCTATTGTGCGACGGAGAGGTACAGGGGGAGGATGTGGAGAAGAAGTTGGTGACACTGTAGGTATTCACGTAAGTGTGAATGAATCCAATGAAGTTGACTAAAAGACATGTGAATGCGTTTTTTCCTTGCAGTTGAAATAGCGGTGTAGGAAACGACGTGAACAGCCGACGCGCCGTGGTCGACGCTGGTTTGGCGCCAAGGATCTTGGTAGGATATAGCTAACGGTGATATTCAAAAGTTTCGAACCGACCGGGCACCGGCTCGAACTTTTCGCGCGCTGATTTCGCGCGCTCCACGTTGAAGGTGCTAGATGACAGCTTACTTTCAAGATACAAGTTAAACTGGTGGTTGTGGTGGCTGTAGTTGGAGCAAAACCGTCTCCGCTGGTAGCTCTCACTTCGGCTTTTGCCTCACTTCAAGCACTCCAGTCACCGAGCGCTCCGTCCCCGCCTCTTGTCCACGGCGCTCACCTGGTAGGAGGACTGCGTGGCTAGCTTCTAATTTGCTCGATCGCTTGTCAATCAACGCTTTGGTGTTTGCATACAGATGGGCAAGAACTCCGGCAACACAAATTACACGATGAACGAGATCGACCGCCTCCTGGATCTCGTAGAGCAG